TTAACTGAGTTCAGTGGTATCCTGCTGCCACATTGTGCTGAGTTCAGTGGTATCCTGCTGCCGGATTGCGCTATCAGTATTGGCGAAGCAGCATTGTGAAATCAGTGTTGCACTACCAGCACTCAGTCCCAGCTATCATACTTTTACTCCCTGTGTTAGCTGAGAGCCCTTCCACACAGTCATATAACACAAAATATCAAAGCCGAAAATCTTTCAGTATCTCCTTTGAATAGGGTGTGGACTCAGTTCACAGCAGATATTGTGGGATTTTCTGCCATGGTATTTTGCGTTATATTTTGCGTCCCCTGCCAAGCATTGCTGTGACCCAGTCTGGTGATCTGGAAAATAAAGTAATGAGAAAGTGTTGGTTTCTAATATATCTAATTTCTTTATGTTTTTGGGTAAACAGTATTTCTTGCTGGTTTTTTGTCAACTCCCAAATGACAATATATTTTTTTTTTTGAGTGAAGAACATACATTGGGTTGTTAGGTGTCTTGTGTCCAAATTTGGTGTCAATTCATCCAGTGGTTTTTCAGTTATGTTAATCCCACAAATGTACATTACATTTTTATTTATACAGAAGACTAGCCATCCCCTGCAACATGTTGCTGTGGCCCAGTCTGGTGATCTGGAAAATAAAGTAATGAGAAAGTGTTGGTTTCTAATATATGTAATGTCTTTCTGCTTGTGGATAAACAGTATTTCTTGCTTTTTCTTTGTCAGTGTTGATGTGGAGATTGTCTCGTTTGCCTACTCTGGAACATGCAACATATCATTGTCCTTCTTTAGGGGTTCCTTTCAAATCTTTGACACTGCATCTGTCATATACATATGTGTGTGTGTGTGTGAATGGCTGGATGGCCCTTTGTCAGGAGAGCTCTGATTATGTTTTCTTGCCCTGGTGAAGGGAGTTGGACTGGATGGCCTTCAGGCAGCATTTCTGGGAAGTCAAGACCCCGAGGGGGGAGGGGGTCAGCAGGGGTCACCAAAAACCACCAGAAAACACAGTATTTTCTGTTGGTCATGAGGGTTCTGTGTGGGAAGTTTGGCCCAATTCTGTCATTGGTAGGCTTCAGAATGCTCCTTGATTGTAAGTGAACTATACATCCCAGTAACTACAAATCCCAAATGTCAAGGTCTATTTCCCCCAAACTCCATCTGTGTTCATATTTGGGCATATGGCATATTTGTGCCAAGTTTGGTCCAGATCCATCATTGTTTGAGTCCACCTCGCTGCACTACAGTCTCCCTACCTGAGCTAGCGGGGGTGGTCTCGAGCCTGGCGTTGGAGTCTCAACGGCTTCTTGTGCTGGGGGACTTCAACATCCATGCCGAGGCGACCCTCACAGGAGCAGCTCAGGACTTCATGTCCACCATGGCAACCATGGGGCTGTCCCAACGAATAACTGGCCCTACCCACTGTGCTGGACATACATTGGACTTGGTTTTCTGCCAGGGATGGGAGCAGGGTGGCGGTGTGGAGGAGTTGTCCATCTCTCCGTTGCCATGGACCGACCACTTCCTGATCAGATTTAGGCTCACTGCGCCCCCTAACCTCTGCAAGGGTGGAGGACCCACTAAGATGGTCCACCCCAGGAGACTGATGGATCCGAATGGATTCCTGACGGCTCTTGGGGATTTTCCTGCCACCTCGGTAGGTGACCATGTCGAGGCCTTGGTCGCTCTCTGGAATGGGGAGATGACCAGGGCAATTGACATGATCGCTCCGGAACGTCCCCTCTCAAGTAGCCGAGCTAAACCAGCCCCTTGGTTTACTGAGGAGCTGGCAGTGATGAAGCGAAGGAAGAGGGAACTAGAGAGCGTGTGGCGTTCGGAGCCGAGCGAGCCAAATCGAACACGGTTTGTGTCCTTTCTTAGGGCATATGCCGCGGCAATAAAGGCCGCAAAGAAAGTTTTCTTTGCGGCCACTATTGCGTCTGCAAAGAACCGTCCGGCGGAGTTGTTTCGGATTGTTAGAGGTCTTTTAACTCCCGCCACCTCTGGCGGGAGCCCTGACAATTCGGTCACGCGCTGTGAAGCATTTGCTCGGTTCTTTGCAGACAAAGTCGCCTTGATCCGTTCTGGGCTGGACGCCGCGTTAAATGCAGTCTCAGAGGATGTAACAAGAGCACCTGCTTGTCCTATTTTGATGGATTCTTCTCAGTTTGTGAAACCCGAGGATGTGGACAAGATACTTGGAGGAATGAGGCCCACCACGTCCATCCTAGACCCCTGCCCATCCTGGCTTCTGAAGGAGGCCAGAGGGGGATTGGCTGAGTGGGTAACGGTGGTGGTTAATGCCTCCCTTAGGGAAGGCAAGATTCCAGCGTGCTTAAAACAAGCAGTTATAAAACCGCTGTTGAAGAAACCATCACTGGACCCCACTAAATTCGACAACTTTCGGCCTGTTTCCAATCTCCCCTTTTTGGGCAAAGTCATGGAAAGCGTGGTGGCCTCACAACTCCAGGTATTCTTGAGAGACACGGATATTCTGGATCCGGCACAGTCTGGTTTCAGACCGGGACATGGTACCGAGACGGTCTTGGTCGCCTTAGTGGATGATCTGCGCCGGGAGCTAGACAGGGGGAGTGTGTCCCTGTTGGTGCTCCTGGACCTCTCAGCGGCCTTCGATACTGTCGACCACAGTATCCTTCTGGGGCGCCTTGCGGAAATGGGCCTTGGGGGCACTGCTCTGCAGTGGCTCCACTCATTCCTGGAGGGACGCACCCAGAAGGTGTTATTGGGGGACTCCTGTTCTGCCCCACAACCTTTGACTTGTGGGGTTCCACAGGGTTCCATACTGTCCCCATGCTGTTTAATATCTACATGAAGCCGCTGGGTAAGATCATCCGGAGTTTCGGGGTGCGGTGTCATCTGTACGCAGATGATGTCCAACTCTGTCACTCCTTTCCACGCTACTAAGGAGGCTGTCGAGGTCCTGAACCGGTGCCTGGCCGCTGTGACAGTCTGGATGAGGGCGAACAAACTGAAATTAAATCCAGACAAGACAGAGGTACTCCTGGTCAGTCGCAAGGCCGAACGGGATATAGGGTTACAGCCTGTGCTGGATGGGGTCGCACTCCCCTTGAAGGCGCAGGTTCGCAGCTTGGGTGTGACCCTGGATTCATCGTTGAGCCTGGATCCCCAGGTTTCAGCGGTGACCAGGGGAGCATTTGCACAGCTTCGGCTCGTGCGCCAGCTGCGCCCGTATCTCGGGAAGTCTGACTTGGCCACGGTGGTACACGCTCTGGTCACATCCCGGCTTGACTACTGCAACGCTCTCTACGTGGGGCTGCCCTTGAAGACGGCCCGGAAGCTTCAGCTGGTTCAGCGCGCGGCAGCCATGTTACTAACTGGAGCGGGATACAGGGAGCACACAACACCCTTGTTGTCCCAGCTCCACTGGCTGCCGATTTGCTACCGGGCCCAATTTAAGGTGCTGGTGTTGGCCTACAAAGCCCTGAACGGCTCCGGCCCAAAATACCTTTCAGACCGCATCTTGGCCTATGAGCCCACGAGGACCTTGAGATCGTCTGGGGAGGCCCTTCTCTCGATCCCGCCTGCCTCACAGGCACGCCTGGCGGGGACGAGAGAGAGGGCCTTCTCAGTGGTGGCCCCCCGGTTGTGGAACACTCTCCCTACAGACATCAGGCAGGCGCCCTCTCTTTTGTCCTTCCGAAAAAGCCTCAAGACGTGGCTGTTCGAGAGGGCATTTAATTAAGTGCTATAGTAATGTGGTAAAGACGACTGGAATGGTACAAGGAATACGAGATTGGTCACGATTCTATTACGAGACGAAGCGGATTAGTTAGTGTAATTTTAACTGTTGTATTGTTGTATGGTTAATATGCTGTTGTACTTGTCTTTGTGTGAATTGCCTTTTGTACTGTACACCGCCGTGAGTCGCCCGAGTGGGCTGAGAATGGCGGTTAATAAATGCTCCAAATAAATAAATAAAATATTTGGGCATATGGAATATTTGTGCCAAGTTTGGTCCAGATTCATCATTGTTTGCGTCCACAGTGCTCTCTGGATGTAGGTGAACTACAACTCCCAAACTCAGGGTCAATGCCCACCAAACCCTTCCAGTGCTTTCTGTTGGTCAGGGGAGTCCTGTGTGCCAAGTTTGCTTCAACTCCATAATTGGTGGAGTTCAGAATGCTCTTTGATTGTAGGTGAACTATAAATCCCAGCAACGACAATTCCCAAATGACAAAATCTATTTTTTTTAGTGAAGGACATACATTGGGTTGTTAGGTGTGTCGAAATTTGGTGTCAATTCCCCCAGTGGTTTTTGAGTTATGTTAATCCCACAAACATCTAAGCATGAGGAAAGGAGATTCCATCTGAACATTGGGAAGAACTTTCTGACTGTGAGAGCTGTTCAGCAGTGGAACTCTCTGCCTCAGAGTGTGGTGGAGGCTCCTTCTTTGGAAGCTGTTAAACAGAGGCTGGATGGCCATCTGTCGGGTGTGCTTTGAATGCAATTTTCCTGCTTATTGGCAGGGGGTTGGACTGGATGACCCATGAGGTCTCTTATGATTCCATGAATATTACATTTTTATTTATATAGAAGATGTGGAAAGGTTTGACTAGGTAAGCTAGTCAAACTAAACCACTGTGTCGCGAAATGATGCAGGCCTCAAAGTGTGGAAATGTTTGGCAAGCTCCCCTCCCTTCTCCGCCCGCCTTTCAGAGAATCCCAAAGTGCCCATAAGCTTCCAGTTTCCCGCGCGCGCCCCCGCTTTCCTGCTTCCCGCTGAGGGAAGAGGCCTCACGCGGCGCCGTGGTTCCAAGGCGCCTTTGCGGCCTGCAGGCCCTTTCGGAGGCGTTTGGGGCAAAGGGCGGGAAGCAGCGCCTTTCCTCGCGTTCCCTCCCTCACTCCCTCCCTCAGGCCTCGGGGCGCAGGCGACGCCGCCCTCCCCCCATCCCCCTTTCGCTCCGGAAAAGGGCGTCTCCTGACTAGGCCGCGCCCTCCCTCCCCTCCCTTCAGCCCGGCGGGGGCGAGGCCAAGCGAGCAGGCGCGGCGGGACTGAGGCGCTTCAGCCGCTCCTGAGGAGAAGAGAGAGAGAGACACACACACAGACGCAGAGTGGGAGAGGGAGAGAGAAACTTGCTCGTTGGGCTCCGGATGCCGTTTCCCGGCGGGTTGTGGTGGCTGCTGTGCTGCAGGCAAGGCTTCACGTTGCTGCGGCGGGACTATGGCGAGGCGGGCAAGGAGGAGGACGAGGCGGCAACGGCGGAGGAGTCCTTCGAGCTGCGGAGCCCCGTCGGAGAGGTGAGGGGACAACAAGGCCCTGGAATTATCACCATTGGGCAAAGGTTCTCCACAGGAGATAGGTCCCTCATGTCACCCACAAAGGAGAATATTTTCTTTCCCCAATTGGCAGAAGTTTCTTTCTGTTTTCTTCTTACATCAGGACGTTTTCCAGTGTGAAATAGCAAGAAGTTTTCAGCCAATACAAGTTATTGTCGAAGGCTTTCGTGTCAGGAATCACTGGTAGGTTTTTCGGGCTATATGGCCGTGTTCTAGAAGCATTCTCTCCTGACTTTTCACCTGCATCTATGGCAAGCATCCTCAGAGGTTGTGAGACCTCACAACCTCTGGGGATGCTTGCCATAGATGCAGGCAAAACGTCAGGAGGGAATGCTTCTAGAACATGGCTCACAACCTCTGAGGATGCTTGCCATAGATGAAGGCGAAACGTCAGGAGGGAATGCTTCTAGAACATTGCTCACAACCTCTGGGGATGCTTGCCATAGATGCAGGCGAAATGTCAGGAGGGAATGCTTCTAGAACATGGCTCACAACCTCTGAGGATACTTGCCATAGATACAAGCAAAACATCAGGAGAGAATGCTTCTAGAACATGGTCATATAGCCCGAAAGACCTACAACAACCCAAGCACAAGTTCTGGTGGTGCTCTGTTTTTTGGTGTCTGTTGAAGACTTTTCTATTTCAGGGATGCTGTGAGTTTTCTGGGCTGTAAGGCCATGTTCCAGAAGCATTCTTTCCTGACGTTTCACCCACATCTATGACAGGCCTCCTCAAAGGTTGGCCCCTCAACCTCAGAGGATGGGCCCTTCCACACAGCCAGAATATCAAGGCCGAAAATCCCACAATATCTGCTTTGAACTGGGTTATCTGAGTCCACACTCAGATAATGTGAGATTTTCTGCGTTGATATTCTAGGATATAGGGCTGTGTGGAAGGGCCCGATGCCTGCCATAGTTGTGGGTGAAACATGAGGAGAGAATGCTCCTGGAACAATTATTTATTTATTTAAAGCATTTCTATTCCGCCCTTCTCACCCCGAAGGGGACTCAGGGCGGAGCACAACATATAAATGGCAAACATTCAATGCCGAAATATAGTAGACCATACATGTACAAAAGCAGTCAAATCACTTACCATGACAATAAAACCCTCTAATTAAAACTGTCTCAACAACCATATCAAATTTGGTTGGCATACTAAGGGTTCCTATCACTGCCTCATTGCACAATCCCAAAGGCTTGGTCCCACAGCCACGTTTTTATCATTCTTCTAAAGGACAAGAGGGAGAGAGGCTGACCTGATCTCATTAGGAAGGGAGTTCCATAGCCGAGGTGCAATCACTGAGAAGGCCCTGTCTCTCGTCCCCACCAAACGCGCCTGTCATGGTGGCGGGACCAAGAGCAGGGCCTCCCCAGAAGATCTCAATCTCCACAGTGGTTCATGGGGGAGATGTGTTCGGACAGGTAAATTGCGTCAGGACCGTTTAGGGCCATACAGCCTGGAAAACTCACAACAACCCAGTGATTCCAGCCATTAAAGTTTCTCAACCTGGGGGTCGGGACCCCTGGAGGGGTCACAATAGGATGTCAGAGGGGTCACCAAAGACCATCAGAAAACCTGGTATTTCCTGTTGGTCATGGGGGTTCTGTGTGGGAAGATTGGTCCTATTCTATTGTTGACATGGTTCAGAATGCTCTTTGATTGTAGGTAAACTATAAATCCCAGCAACTACAACTCCCAAATGTCTATTTCCCTCAAACTCCACCAGTGTTCACTTTTAGCCATATTGAGTATTTCTGCCAAGTTTGGTCCAGGTCCATCATTGCTCTCTGGATGTAGGTGAACTACAACTCAAAAACTAAACCCACCAAACCCTTCCAATATTTTCTGTTGGTCGTGGGAATTCTGTGGTCAAAGTTTGGTTCAATTTCATTGTTTGTGGAGTTCAGAATGCTCTTCGATTGTAGGTTAACTACAAATCTCAGCAACTACAACTCGCAAAATCAATCCCTCTCCCAACCCCACCCGTATTCAAATTTGGGTGTATTGTGTATTTGTGCCAAATTTCACCCCTGTGAGTGAAAATACATCCTGTATATCAGATATTTACATTATGATTCATAACAGTAGCAAAATTACAGTTGTGAAGTAGCAACAAAAATGTTATGGTTGGGGGTCACCACAACATGAGAACCTGTATTAAGGGGTCGTGGCATTAGGAAGGTTGAGAAACACTGCATTAAAGCTTTTGAAAATTTCTATTGCATTTTCTCATTTCACAAATGGTTAAGCAACCAATGCACCAAGCTGCTGATGACCACCTTAACCCCCAACTTCTCTCCAAACACCACACAGTACTTACAGCAGGCATGGGCAAACTTTAGCCCTCCAGTGTTTTGGACTTCAGCTCCCACAATTCCTCACAGCCTACTGCTTTGAAGTCCAAAACATCTGGAGAGCCGAAGTTTGCCCATGATCCCAGGTTTACTTCTTTAAATTGGATTATATGAGTTCACACTGTCAGATAATCTGGGATAAAAAGAAAACCTGCAATCAGATCCTGGGATATAGGCCCTGTCTGGAAGGGCCTCAAGATGCCTCTTCTTATCCACAGGAAATACTTATCCTGGCAATGGCGTCTGTGGATTTTGCACTAAATGAGCTTTCATTTGGTCATCAGAAACAGTCTTGTTCAACAAAGTCCAAACTAACAATGACACAGGCCCCTTCTACACAGCTGAATAAAATACCATATTTTTTGCTTTGAACTGGAATACATGACAGTGTGGACTCAAATAACACAGTTCAAAGCAGATAATGTGGGATTTTCTGCCTTGATATTCTGGGGTATATGGTTGCGTGGAAGGGCCCACAGTTTCTTCTCTTTGTTCCTATTCCATTGTTTATTTGGAAGGTTTTGGATTAGATAAAACAGTGGTAGACACCTCCGTTTCCACCTGCAATCTATTTCCCCTCCCCCTCTTGTCCCGTCCCTTAGGCTTTGCCTGCCAACTACCACATTTTGGCAGCATCCACTATAGTTGCTTCCACTATGCCAGCTATTACTGCTATTGCAATGTAAATTGGTAGAAGGGTAGGTAATGATAGTTGAATAATCAAAATTTGGTTGAGATAGTGCTTGCAGTTGTGGAGGGACTCAATTTTTTGCTTCTTATATGGTTGGCATGGGAATTAGGTTAACCAGTTAAAAGTCATGAGTAAACCAAGTTTTCTTTTTACCTGAAAAAAATGGGTGAGGGATTGTTTGGACTACAGGCTCCCCCCCCCCCCCCCCCCGCAGAAGCATCTCTTTCCCGCAGAAGTATCTTGGCTTGTTGAAGGAGGAGGAACAATCAGTCTCTCCTTTCGAGGCTTTCCAGGTGGGGTTTGGGCCTCCAAGTTGGACTGGACCCGACCTGCACTTTTTACCTGCACGTTGAAATAACTTTGTGGCCCTTGCAGAAGGAAGACATAATTGGTACCCATTTTTCTGCCCTCATAGAATCAGAATAATAATAGGCCCTTCCACACAGTCATATAACCCAGAATATCAAGGCAGAAAATCCCACAATATCTGCTTTGAACTGGGTTATCTGGGTTATCTTCCACACAGCTGGGTTATCTGTGTTATCTTCCACACAGCTGAATGAAATCCCACATTATCTGCTTTGAATTGGGTTATATGGCAGTGTGGACTCTGATAACCCAGTTCAAAGCAGATATTGTGGGATTTTCTGCCTTGATATTCTGGAATATAGGGCTATCCGGAAGGGCCTTGAGTCCACACTTCCATATATTCCAGTTCAAAGCAGATATTGTGGGATTTTCTGCTTTGATATTCTGGGATATAGGGCTGTGTGGAATGGCCCTCAGATAACCCAGTTCAAAGCAGATATGATGGGATTTTATGCCTTGATAATCTGGGATATAATGCTGTGTGGAAGGAGAAGAGGCTTCTTAGGGCCCATCCACACAGCCCTATATCCCAAAATATCAAGGCAGAAAATCCCACAATATCTGCTTTATACTGGTTTATTTGAGTCCACACTCAGATAATGTGGGATTTTCTGCCTTTATATTCTGGAATATAGGGCTGTGTGGTAGGGCCCCAAGTTCAACACAGATATTGTGAGTATCTGTCCTGATATTCTGGGTTATGTGATTGCATGAAAGGGTCCCCAGTTGTAAGAAAGTTCAAACAGGAATGGTGTTTTGATGGATTGAACCAAATGGGAGCCTCAAAGGAGGGAGAAAAGTTCCAACAGGAGCCAAGAAGTCCAAATGGTATTTGATAGATTGATCTGTCATCAGGAAACGATGGGGAAAATGCTTACTTAAATTATTGTGATAAACTTCCCTCAGTCTAGACACTAGACTAGACTCCTTTTGATGTAGCCCAGAATCCCATTGGCTTTTTATGCTGGTGCATCACACTGTTGGCTCATGTTCAACTTGTTGTCCATGAAGACTCCCAAGTTCTTTCCCACATAGACTGTTGTCGAGCCATGTATCACCCATTTTATATCTTTGCGTTTCATTTTTTTTCTGCCAAAGTGTAGTATCTTATATTTGTCCTTGTTGAAATTCATTTTGTTAGTTTTGGCCCATCTCTCTAATCTGTTACGGTGATTTTGAATTCTGATCCTGTCTACTCATTGAATTCCTTTTCTTTCTGGCAATGTATGTTCCTTCTAGCAAGCAATGGCCAACCACGACCCTCCAGGTGTTTTGGACAAAATATTCCTAAAAGACACATTTCTGAGTTTTTCTTCACCTTATTAGTAATCTATCCACATTTGTCTTCCGTTGTTGTTGTTGTTGTTGTTATTATTATTATTATTATTATTATTATTATTATTATTATGTTTATTTGTGTCCCGCTTTTTCTCTCCATATGGAGACTCAAAGCGGCTTACAACTAAAAGCATTGCAATACAACTTAAAATATTCTAATATACAAGTATTAAAACAATATAAACATCATTAAAAGCATATAAAA